ATTGTCTCTCTGCAAACGTAGAGTATCTATTTGCTTTTGTATTTGCCTGTAAAGCACCTACTTCTTTTTCGCTTGAACAATTTTAGAACTAATTACCTTATGTCATAAACCGGGTAATCTCATGGTATATATCACCTTCACTTTTCTCCCCTTAAGTTTTGGCCCTTTGGACTGACTGTGGTGAGTTGTTTGCGAAGCTGTGTGTGTGTGTGTGTGTGTGTGTGTGTGTGTGTGTGTGTGTGTGTACATGAATTTGTGCTGGATAGAAGGTGGAAGTGAAGGTTTAGAATGATTTATACACCTGATTGTTTTGCAGTATGACAGAACAAACTGTCTTGTACACACATCTGTACAGAACAGAGCAGACTTGCTATTAAAGGCAAGTCTCTTGTGTTTCTCTTTTTCGACTTTAACACATAAATTCACTCAAGCTTCCAATCTGAACTCATGGTTCTTATTAGTGTATTTTTTTTTTCTTTTTTATCCTGATGCAATTTTGCTCAAAAAGCCAAATTCTAGGGAACAGAACGTTCTTGAAGTCCAAGTAGAAACAGAGAAAAATCGATCTTTTAATTTTTTCCCCTGAATTCATTCCTGCAGTTCTGGGCACAATCACGGTCCATATTGAACTCTTCAGTGTTATATCTGCGATCAGACGATGTGTTTTTCCACAACACCTTTCTGTGCTAAATCAGGCATGCTTGGTCGCTGAGGAAAAAAGAAGAAAAAAAAAAGAAAAAGGTTTTCCAGGAGAGTGTCCAACAATATCAAAACAATCTCCAAGCTGGATTTCCTCTGTGACTTTTAGGGTTTCACAGGAAAAAAAAAAAAAGAAGAAGAAAAAAAAGATGAGAGCTGTTGGTGAAGCTCCTGTAAAACAAATCTGCCGGTTGAAAACTGTCCACAAACACAACAGAACACAAGCAGTTCTGTCATAAAAGCAGTGTAATAACACGTCAATGAGGCCTTCAAAAGTCTGAGCACTTCTCCAGCTACAGCTAGGACTCTTGAGGGTCATCTCAACAAGATCTGCATCACATCCTTCTCCCTTCCTTCCTATGACACGTTCAACCTTTTCACCCATCTTACTATTTGTTAAACCAATAAAAGGTATTGGGCTAGACTTCCCATATTAATAATAAAAAAAAAAAGATTTTTGGAAGTCATTAACTTTCTTGGCAAGACTGGGAAGCACTAATAATCAATCTGTTAATATTTAACTACTTCTATAAAGTAATTTTATGAGTGGCAAAATGACTCCAAATCCTCTCAAAGCTCTTCGATGAACCTTTGAAACGGAGTCGGAGCCTCTCGGATGTCGAAACTGGATATAAAACATGGATTGTTTGGGCATCAGAGAGGCAACGAGCATGTTTCTGGTTCACAGTTGAATAGTTGCCTGGGATGGATGGTGCTGAAAACCACAGAAAACCACAGACTGGGATGCTACAGCTAGAAATAAGTGATTTGGAAAAAAACAGACAGCATTGGTGTGCCAAAGAAATTGTAATGTGTTGAATATTTTATGTGGAATTCTTGATTTTGGGGCTCAGTTTTGTGGTGACAATATTGGGATAAACTCTAAGTAATGTTTATTTGCTATAGTTTATCTAGAGTACAATTTGCTACCCAAATAGCAGCAGATGGAGGACCACTTCCTTTTTTAACTATTTCAACAAAATACTTCAAACTTGGACTTGGACACCCTGTTGTCTCTGCACATTTTCCAAAATGGGGGTTGAAGTTGAACCAACTACTGCTTAGTCACAAACTAGACACAACAGCAACAGGATATTTTGCACTAAATAATTTTTAACCGTATTTGGTAGTGTATAAAACATTTATATTATTTCATTACTTTTACATCCAGTTGTTAAGTTCCTGTCTTCCCTTCCAACGTGACATTAATCTAGCTAACTGCTGCATTTTTAGATGACAAAAATGTTTCATTTACCTAAAAAATAAATATAAATAACAATTATGGATGGGAGTGTTACGAGTCTTTTGGGAGTCTATTAGCAACAATCAGTCTATATATATATTTATCCCTTAGTAGGCAGTGATCATGCCAAACATCCCTATGACTTCATCCTGACTCCAGCCTCCCCTGTGGTCCAAATGGCTAACCAATTAACAGCAGCTTAACTCGTGAGTCCAAGCACCTATTTCTGTTGCACATGCATAAACACACAAGTAGGACAGAAGTGCAGATACACAGGAGAGAAAGGACACATGCATGCACGCACACGAGCATTAAACGTAATGGACACCTGGATCCACGTGCACTCAGAGCCGGTGCCACACACAGAGAAGGGACAGGGATACATACTCATTAACAAAGGCTTAGCATTGCAGAGAGTGTATACCCCCAGCAAAGGCTGCCTGCCTCCCACAGCGGGGGGAAAACACCTCCAGATCTGCCAACTACAAGGCAGATTACATGCTACATGGAAAGTGTTGCTGCGCTTTAAATGTTTCCTATTTACAGAGAGAGAGAAAAAAAGTTGGGAATATTTCTACAACATAGAAAGCACCAAACATTGGTACAACATATTTGCCACCACTAGGTGCCACCACGGGACCTTTTTTTTTTTTTTTTTTTTTTTAAGAGAAAAGTTATTCTAAACTCTTTTTTCTTTTTACATCACACACAGCAAGGGGAAAAATAGTTACTAACAAATTAATACCATTAAAAAAACAAACACACACACAAAAATATATATATATATATATATTTTCCCGGTAATCTGATCGTAAAATATTTGAAATCGAGGTGTGGAGAGGAGGAAGAGAGGTTTAGCACTTTGTGGACGGTGCGGTTGCAGAGATGTGGCTCGCAGAGTTTCTGTGGATTTTGGAATGCGGTCTGTCAACACCGATGGGGTCTCTCAAGAGTTCAAAACACAAGAATTGTAAAAAGAAAGGGGGGATGAAACGAGCTCACCTGAGTGACGAGCAACAGCTGAGTCCACACATCTGGAAATTTACATGGAACCCTACATTTACTGCACCTTTACACTCACATTCATGTTGAAAGTATTCTACTTGGTAGATAATATAAACTGCAGCCTTCCCCTGCAAGATTTTTCAACATGCTTTTTTAAACCAAAGTCAACCAATAGCAAAGACAGTTTAAAAAAAAAAAAGAAAAAAGCATAAAAAAAAAGACCGCTAAAGTTCACAAGACCTCATAACACATACTCACCTCCAAAGACGCAAACAACTCAGGCGCAGTAATCCGTAAATCAAAGTGTAGAAATCACAACTATTAACGCATCCAGGCAAATAGAAAAAAAAGGGGGGTTGGGGGCGAGGGGGCAAAAAAAAAAAAAGGAAGAAAAGATAATAAAAATCACAACTCAAGTCATGGAGGAGCTCAGGAACGAAGTATCTCGGTGCATGACGATGCGCAGAGCAGGAGAGAGGTTGAGTGAGGGGCGCACCGCGGGGGCAGAGTGATGCGCAGCTCTGGCACGGAGTTAAGGCGTCCACGAAACACATTTGTGGTGCTGCGCGCCAATTGGCTGAAACGCGCCGATCCCCACGCCTCTATTCCCCTCCCACTCATACGCACGCATGGCACCTAAACATTTTGTATGGTTCCAATTCACAAGCCCATATGTTTTGGAGAGGTGTAGAAAAAAAAAAAAAAAACATTTATGCCTGGCATGCACTTTTAGGAAAGTTGAGACTCCTATAAGGACAAGATAAGTTCAAACTACAAGTAAAATTGCAGCAATTAAATCGGAAAATGCTCTTGGCTTCAGCTATTCAGTGAACACGCAAATTTAGTTTTGGATTGGATAAACGACATCGGCAAGGTCCAGACTGATAAATGAGTTTGAATAAAGAAATGAAAAGCTGTTTTTTTTTTTTTTTTTTTTTTTTCCTGACACAATAAGCCTCCTCAAATTCAGTCCTAATAAGTTAAGATCAGTGGTGCACATGGTTTATACAGAAAAAACACTGCTGGTTATGATCCGTACAGCCAACTAACTATAAAGGAAAAGCCAGAACATCCAGCAAATTCTGTAAAACAACGCACACTCCTTTGCTTGCAGGTTTAGTGAGCCGTTAATTGACATCCAAGTGAACTTGAGTCACAAGACCGCCTGCTCTTTTCTTGGAAAGAAAATGTCAAACTGCGTTTCCTGCATCATTTACTGTAGCATTTCAGTGCTCAGCTGTGGTTTTTCAAAGTTAATTTACGTGGTCTCGCTCCGGTAGGGATGTGTAGGCGAGTGAGGATGAAGCGGCAGCATGCCATCGCAGATGATTTGCATATTTCTCCAAGAGTGGGATTGTAAATGTGATTAGACAGGCTCAAATCTGCACCAGATACCTCGGACAGCATTGAATCTGTGAACTACAATGATTTGTCCTAACAAATCTGAACATCAGTACTGCTACAGTTACGTCATAAATGAGATGTTGTCGGGACTAGTTAACACTTTGTTGTGGGTGCAAATAACTGTGGACTAGGCAGTTAAAGAATTCACAATTATTCCTTGCGTGGAACAATTGTGGGAATTTTTCTGCTATTGAAAACATGTGGTCACATTGAAAGTTGGACTCGACGTGAGCAGGGTTGCCAACAATTGTGGAGGAAAACGTACATTAGAAAAGCGATTCTCTTAAGGGAAATCTGCTTCTCGTGTAGTTTAGTAGGAACAACTTACTAAACTTTATAGGTTTGCAGTAGGTTAAGTGATTTAACTCTGTGGACTTGTTAACTGGAGGAAGTGATTGGCTTTAAATAATCTCATCCAAAGAAGGTGCTTCAGTGGGAATGCAAAGCAGCACTGGCTGTTGCTACCCAACACGGATTTCCTTTGAGAAAACACAGTGACTTACTGATACCTCAGGGAATCTGCATGAGAATCTACGGTGACGCATTTGGTCAGCCAAGATCAGGTGACGATTTGGTTCTATGCATCCAGAGTATGGACTGTTGCAGATGTACAGGAATGTCTTCATTTATTTTTTTTTTTTAACAAGGAGCTTGGGCCTATCTCCACAGGGCAAAGGGTCCACCCTGAGTATGTTGCCAAAGATGAAGTCGGAGCCTTAGATGCTGATCTGAAGGGCTCAGCTTTTGGATTGAGTTTTCATTCCAGGCTTTGAATTTAGGAGAGCGAGCGTAGCTCTTTTTGAATGTCCGTAAAGCTGGCAGTGAGACAGACCGGGGCAGGTCAAACAGTATGGCTCATTGTCCCTGCCAGCCAGTGAGCCCACACAGTAAGAACCGCACGGAACGCCCTCATTCACCCCGCTGGCGGCTGCTCCGACGTCCTGACAGCTTGATTTGCAGTTTACAGTTCATACTTTAGGCATACTTTTACTTGTTTACTCTTGCACTTAACTTACCGAGAGTGCTGCGCGAACTTCAAGTGGTCTTGCACCTTAGCTTTTCCTTGGGAAATCGGATCATCTTCTGCATCCAGATGACTCTCTTTCCACCTGTTCTCCTTGCCTCACTGCAGCATAGAGCCGCTCTCTGTGCTTCCCCTTAGCTCTTTGTGTTCCCTCTCACAGACATCTGTAACATTGTAAGCCTATTTACAGCAGACACAGAAAAGGGGAGTAGGGCATGAAAGGTAAGCCTATAGGCCTACGCATACAGCTGGAAAGGAAGCGAGGATCAGTGCTGTGTGGAGAGCACAAAAGCGGCCTCCGGGTCAGTAAATCCTGACCCCTGCGACCTTCTGGAGTTCGGAACCGCAGCCTGGTTGATAAAAGCCACAGAGTCGGGCACACCGTGTTGGTAGATCTCTGATCTCGCTTTCTCTCCATCATCTTTATGGAACACTGCTTTGAAAACAATCCAGATTGATGTGGGTCTGCACACTTTGTGATGCTGGCTTGGGTGTCATGTGCAGTGAATGGCAAACTGCAACGTAAGGCGGGTTATCTTCCTATCAGCATATCTGGCTTTCATAACAGATAAAAGGCATCCACGCCATCTGTCATGCAGCGGCCTGCTTGGTTATCCCAGATTTTTCATGTTTTTGGGGATTGAAAAGCTGTCGGATTTTTGCATCACATCTCAACGTTTGGTGATTAATTTGCGGCAGACAAATGTGAAACACTTGCGATGATGCATGAAAACATTGCAATGTTAAAACAGAAAAGTGTGGCCGATGGGGTTCAGAAGCGCTCTGAAAAGTGATATCTGGACATTAAAAACTCTACAAAACTAGACACCGGGTCATTAATGTGACTAATGAATTTTGGTATTTATCTGACATTTAACCCTGCAGGGAAAACCGAGCCACATTGTGCTGGGTCGTGACCAGCTGGGAAACCACACATCACCACGTGTGGTGGTACAAGTCTGCATATCTGTACCATTTCAGGCAGAGGTTTAAAGACGCACGTTTATAGATTTGTTTGAAGCATTCCCATTCCAGGGTGTACATTCTAGATGAAGTTTCCATGTGTGCTTGGAATTATCGCAATGTTGGAAAACCCCATTAAGTCCAGGTTTCAACTTTACAGCTATTGATTTAAGGTGACGTAAAAGACAATATTTATATTCCTTGCAACTGAATGGCTGTAATCCCAAGAGCAGAAATTACCTTCTGAGGTAGTGGGATGACTATATAAAGGTATATTTGATGAACAATCACAATAGGCAGCTGTAAACATTTTTAGTTGGGATCTTAGGTATTGATGGATTTTATCTATTTGCTGGTTGGCTGTGGTACCTAACCCTCGTGAATACCAGGGGTCCATTGTCAACTCTATATATGCTTTTGGCTAGAACGATTATGACAACGTGGGGATTTGAGAAAATCCAAATTATTATCTGCATCTGTTTGGTACTCATTTCTCCCTACAATCCTGCTCATGATGCCTGCATGTAAACGTACAGCCTAAACTGTAACCGAAATTTGATCTCAATAGCCTGGATTAATTCCTCTACAACACAAAAATTGGTTCATTCTCCTGGTTATGACTCTGTGGACTCTCTTTACTGTGACCCTGAACAACTCTGCAACTCCAAAATCTTTTGCGAGAGTGAAGTAAGTGGTCCCAGATTTGGCCTGAAGGAAAACTGTCAGTCAAACACTGGCAAGCTGGGCTGTTTTTCCCGAACATCACGAACATCCGACAGTTTCTTAACATCTTAAAGGAGACTGTGATCAGGACTCATTTGCTCCCTGTCCTAATTTCTGACTATAGATCTCACAGTAGCACCACACCCGCTTGGTTACTGTCACTTTTGCTCATCTCTCTGATCAATGATTTGTTTCATCCCCATCATGTGTCTATCTGCTTGTGTTATTTCTGCCGTTATGACAAACTGGATTAGGGTTGAGGGAGAGGTTCATGGTTATTACTTTGCTGGCTGTCAGTAAATGCTTCAAAAAAGCAGAGATGCATTTAGGGAAGTGTAAGGGAAGTGGCAAAAAACAAACACATTGTTGAAAGAAATGTTATTTGCTGCTCTGGTCCATGGCATGAGACAAGTAGGTTGAATTTAAAGGTAAACCACATGTTTTAGTTTTTCTTATTGGTTTTTTAATGTGGAAAACTACGTGACGATGTCAAAAAGTTCACGGGGTATGAACACTTTTTGATCTGCACTGAACATTTAGTTTACAAAGACTTCCTTATTTAAGGTCTTAATGCTGTAGCGCCACATTCTGCTCACAAGGATACTCCTTTATTTAAAACATAGCTTTCAAAAGAAACTTGCACCTGAAGAAGACAAGCAGACCTTTGATGGGGAATACAGAGTGACACCAGCGAAGCTAAGTCATTTCATTCAAGGTATTTTTATGAGAGGAAAGGCTGCAAATGCATAACCCTTACCCATTTCTGGAATTTCTGCCTCCTCTGGGAGGTAATAGTTGAATTAAGTAGATCAACATCGTCCGCTCCCCCTACGGGGTCCGTTTCCTGACAGTTTGCTTCCTTTTTTTTCACAGGTGTGTAGCAACAAGTGAACGGCCTGGTTAAACTGTAATCCCATTAGGTAGATGTCTTGGCCATAGCTGAGGGCACATCAAGACTTCAAGACATCTAGACTATACACAGGCACACACACCTCTAATTAGGCAAAAATCACAAATCGCATCCGGAATGCTACCTCCAACCTGCGCAGGACCTCCAGCGGTTGAGCTACCATAGCTGGCATACCTTAACAATGAGTGTTTTACTCAACAGTCCATGACCATACATGGTCTTGTGGAAGTTTGGCTCAACTTTAGTAAGTTCAGCTCAAATTCAACCACCGCACATAAGATGAAACAGCAACTCTTCGCTTGAATGATTCATTTATTTGGGTGAGCACATGTGAATAAACTTTTTATTTTAAATTATATGAACAGTGACAAGATGCTTTCATGTTTGCTCATCTGTGTTACTTAAATCTGGTCAGATTAACATTTCATCCCCCAGATCAAGATATTTGCTGAAAGTCTCGCTGTGATGAAAAGTTCTGTTTTTGGATATTTGGCACTATGTTCGGTGGGTTTAGACTGCAGAAAGCTTTTAAACGCATCCCATAATTAAAACCTAATTTGTCCGGAAATCCAGCTGATGTATCTCAACGCACAATTTAAATGACCAAAAACATACATAATAATCATCTGTACACAGATAATTGGTACATTCCTTAAAATTCACTTGTTATAGAGTTATGTAATTAAAAGTGTTTAAGAAATGAAAAACTGAGAGTTAATTTTATTCATAGACTTCTATCCGTAATGTGTAGTAGATGCGTGTTGTGCATATACACAATGGAGGGAGTGACAACAGTGGAGACCCACTGTTATATTTTAGCTTAATAGGAAAAAAAAAGTGCTGGATTTCAACAAGTGTGCATGACACAGAATCACTTCGCTCAAACACTCAATTGCTTTACATTTAGTCTCTGGAGGTGGAATCTGATCATGTGTGATTTTTTTTCTGTTGTACTTGCTTCACCTAGTTTTGGCCTTTTTATTTTTTTTCATTGCTACAGCATCTTCAGCTCCTCCTCTTCCTCCTCTTTTAGTCTGTGGACCTCAGGGAGGAAGTGTGTGACAGCACATAGCTCCTGAGTCCATTCTCAGGAATTTTTCACACACAATCACACGTGTGCGCACAACCACACACTGAAAATCCGAGGGATGTCAGCCAAGGGCAAGGCTCGAGATCAGAAGGAGGGTGAAAGCGAGCGAGCAAGGAAAGGAGAGGAGGAGAGCGAAGGATCACGAAGGGGCGGGAGGGACCTTGGACTGTACTCTCGACTTGGGAGGCCAAGGAGAACAAATGTCTTCTGCAGTCCAGGAATGAATTTTCCTGTCACTGTTACAACAGCAGCCAAGTATCTCAAATACTCCCCAGAGTCCCAAGACTGCAGCCCTTTGGAGAGAGATAAAATATAAGACAAATAATCTATCTGAAAACTCTTTGAACGTTTTCCAAACTAAAGCGTCTCGGGGAACAATTTTTATTTTTTATTTTTCTTTTGTCTCGCAGAGAAACTTTCAAACTGTTGCGTAAAACAATCTGATATTGGCTTGGCAGCGATATCATCATTCCTGAGTTCTAAGGACTTGTCAAGGAAGTGAGCAGAGGAGACTTTTGGAGTTCGCACTCCAGATTACATAAAGGTCTCACTTTTACCTCTCAGAATTCAGTGTAGTTCTTGAGAGAGTTTGTCATGAATTGGGATTATGTACAGAGTCTTTCCTAGGCGACTTCTGCAGGTGGTTGGTTGCACTTGTTTAGAGGTACCGGAGTAAAGGGGACTGATTTTTGATTTTTTAGATTTATTGAAAGGCGTTATAATTTTTTTTTCCACTTCATAGATATGTTCATCTTTATGTTGGTCTATCACTTCAAAAAAAAAAAAAAAAAAAAAAAAAATTTTTTTATTATTTATTTATATATTTTTTTAAAAAAAAAAA